CTTGACCAGTGCTCCTTTCATTATTACAGTAATGTGTAGAATGTCATCAAAGTCAGGTCGTGCATCCACCCTAATCACTATTGCACAGTCGTCATTCGTGCAGTTGATTAGGCGGTCATGAGATCGCAGACGCTGCTGCGGCGCGTCACGGCCATCAGCTGTCTTCCAGCCTATTTAGCCATTTTCTGCCTAATTTTCACGGTTTTGGCTCAATTAAACAAACATTCGAACAAATACCTGAAAAATCGCAAAAACACTTCATTACAAAACGAAAAAAGATCCACGTCCTAATATACCTCATAAAGACAAAAAACAACTTACCTTGAAAAAATAATACAGTGAAATTAGAGAGAAATGGCTGAATAGGCTGGAAACAGCTGATCGCCGCGGTCGTGACGCGCCGCAGCCGTGTCTGCGACTCCTTGACCACCTAGTCAACTCCGGATGACGACTGTAGTTTCCAGGGCTCTTAGTCCGTGACTGATTCTGAGGAGTTCCTTGTTCTAAGTTTCTTCACTACAGTATCTTTGCTTTGCCCGTACTCGAAACGTAATTATTCGGGCATTCGAACACTGTAACGCGAGTATTTAAAACCAAGAGCATGACCGGCACCTACCCCCAGCACGCAAGGTACGGATAATGATGCAAGTCCTGCTACAATTAGCCATCTACTAGAATCCTTTTCACATCAGTAATAGTCAAAGGTGAGTACCCGGTGTGTTCTTTTCTTAACAGAAGCGTTGAGATTTATGCATTTCAGTGTACATACAAACATTCAAAGTGTATAGAGATAGACGATCGCTTTTCACGCGAGGAGATCGATTGCCGGCGTCCGTCTTCTTCCACGTTGGTGGTGTCAGTTCAATCAGTAAATCTGCAATCGTCTTCCGATCACTTTTGTTTCATATTATATTGTTGTAATCTATGCCTGAACCGTTCTTTTATTCGCCATCGTACTATATGTATTTGTAATGATTTGTAATGTGGCATTTTTCTTTGTCATAATGTAGTAAATTCATAGTGCAGTCAATGTGTTAACATGAGATTGTTTGACACTCGTTACATTGTTATGAGTTGCAGGCTTTTTCTACGAATAAATTATTTCTAATAATGGAGAAAAACTAAGCAACCTTCACGCTGAGCAGGAACAGCTCGCTCCATATTAACAATATCAGTGACAATCGTGATCGGTACCTGAAGAGGATTTGCGAAACTGATGGTGTACGTTCTGTGCTAAGAATACCCACCCTTAAAGAGGCGATCACGAAGTTGTGTGCGCGACCAACGGCTATGTTAACCATGTAACAGGTCTCCAACAAACCAGGCACGTTCATACTTGGGGTAAGCGCTGGCACGTTAAATCCGCAAGTGAACGAGTACGTCTCCCCAACAGCGATCTTATGCTTCGAAGATGGTAAGCCGACACCTGAATTTGCCACCAAAATCTGCCAGTCAGTGCTGCGAACATTATTACACTTATATAACATCTGAATATACTCATTCCTTTCAAATCATATTAGCATGCTCTTGAACGCTTAAAGGGGGGAACGAATCAAATATCCAGGACTGTGAGGCTTAATTAGGGAAGATACCAAGAAAGCCAGTGACTGGAGAAAAAAGTGTCGCAGTGCCCCAGCTAGAACCCTTTAGCGAGCGCATTCGCACGAGTACAGGGCCGGCAAAGGTGTGATCAGACGAGATCACCGAACAGTGATGTTGTGTCCGGTATGGTCGTCGCTATCGATCCCAGCTGATTTCTTGTTGACAACTTGCTTACTTTTGGTGTCTGTTGATTATTGCCGGTAAGCGGTGGGAAGGCAGTGAAGGTGGGAGCGCGGTGTTCGCGCCTTCAGGGTTTTGGAACACTGCTCTTGAGTTGTCCGTCTGGAAAGAGTGAAGGAATTTCCCTGATACATCTGCTGAGCTATTATTCCGTACTACGGTTGTGTGATATAACCGGTTTTCCTCTCGGATATCGAGTGGTCATCTTGGAAACATCCGACTGCTTCGATTTTTCTTAGTATGCTCATGTGAACGTACTTTGATAGATTGTTTCCACCTGAATTTGGGTAGTTTCCCTTTGAAATTCAGAAGCGATGTTTCACTGTCGACACGGCCTTGATGTTGGCTTGAGTTTTGACAAACTGATCGAAAGGACGCCTGCTCCAAGGCACATTCAACGAAAATACTTCGGCCTCTGCAACGGTGACGTCAGTGACATTGAGACCTCAAACGACGAGCATACTCACTTGTTCAGGGGAAAGTTCTTCGAGTGCACTACGCTCTGGCTCCAAGGGACGCGCTATCACGTTGTGGAGCGACCACTGCCTATTGGATGATCTGCTGTTTTTTACTGCAGCAAGTACTCTCATAATTCAGGGTTACTGTATGAACCGAAATCGGAAGAATGATGTCACTAGAATGATTTCGATCCTATTATTGGCCCTAATCGGATCACTCGCGCGCCAGTCCATAATCAAAATTTTTTTATGGTTCCCGACTCATGGTGGTGCAGTCAATGTACGAACCCGTGTCCGTCGCGTCGGATGTTGGGGGTTTAGGGGGGGAGGAGAGGCATGTTTGGCCAGCGTACCCTGTTCCATGTTCGAAGCGGGGCATGCCGCACGGAACTAGTTAGCCACGCCACCACCTAGTGGACGCCCGGTCGTGAGCAGGGATATCGTTGGTTGGGAATGTCCAAGGGGGTCGTAATTTGCCGCCAGGAGAGGGGGGGTCGGTTAGTGCGGGTGCGGCGCCAGTACGGAGGCAATTGTCAATGTGCTGAGTCCTGTACAACGAAACTTGCTTTGTAGAGAACTCGGATATGCAAAAAAAATTAATACAACTTTTCACTCATCAAACTATCCGAAATACTGCCAATATTAATCAATCGACACTATCTCGTAAGGTCGTTGTGATAAACGTACTAACTACAACTTCTGGGGTCGCTGACAATGATTAGGTCGTGTCGCGTCGCCCCGCTTGCGCGAGAACCGGTTTTTTTTTTTTTCACCAAGGACCGAATGACCATATCTTTCCATATCACGAGTTTTCCAGCGTTGTTTACTTTATCGTAGTCATCGTTGGGGAGCGAATGGCCCAGCGTGTGACAGGGACTGTTCATCATTACGCCGCAACGGAAAAACTGTAAACAATGTGCACAGTGTCGCAATGGACATCCTGAATATAACACATTGCTCGCTGGTGAACGACATTACGGCGAGTTGCACTCACTCTGCGCGGCCTCAGTGCGGACGATTCGCAGTTGGTGATCGCGCTAACGAACTATCCGCTTGCTTCACAGGATGTTTACATGCTTCCTAGCCTTATTCGAACGTCAACTCGACGGTAAGGAACGGCTGCGTGTTCGCGCAGGTGGGAGTGTTTAAGAAATCATCCATAGCGAGATTCATGAATCGATGTCCGAAAGTTCAAGAGGTTTTGAAGAGAAGATCTCTCAAAACACTCGAAACCATTCTCAGATTTGTGAAATGTTGAGTTACGAAAAAAATATTGATTCAAACCTGTTCGGTTGAAACCACTCCCCAACGAATCCCTATGGCAGATTTCTCCGTGTGATTTTGCGTATTCATACGTTCATACTTTTAGAAGTGCATTTCCTCCGATACGGTGTCTCTCCCCCAGGTCCGCTTTTGCGGAAGTTATGTCTTACGACCCCTACTTTGCTGAAAATTCTCGCTCCATGGCTAAAATTGCCGAACGATCTGCGGTCACATCTGCAATTACATGCGCTTCTGCTACCGTACTCCAATAATCGGGTATGCATTTTTACGGCGGTTTGTTCGTATTGAGTGTGAGCAGCCTACTTTCTCCTTTCTCGTCTCAATTTGGGAATGACGTTGTTCACTGTGGTCGCTGATGGCCGTCCCGAGGGGAGTCACTCGGATACGAATGTATTGATTTCAATCGTATCGTTATTATTGTGGGTTTTTTTATTATGGTTTTTATTAATTATGTTTTTATTTTAGTTGATTATTACATCTCTTTATTAGTGTTGTTTTAGTGTTTTTATAAGTGTCTTGTGTGTTTCAACCCGTGAACGTCAACTCGAAGAGTTTCATCATACGAGTACCTCAAATAGATGTGTACCGTTTTACCTGTTTGCAATATTCTGTATGTTCTTTATTATGTCCCAAGTGTCCTTGTGAGGGGCACTTCATACAAGTAAGATTCATAGTGGGCGTTTCATAGTTTCATTTAAGGCGAAAAAAACCGAACGGCAAAAAAAAGGGAGGGGGGGTCGTACCGAACCCCCAAAAAAGGGGGGGGGGGGGGGCGCACAGGTCGCCAAATCCCATCGAATGCTGTGCCCTGTTGCAGCGAAAAGCAACTATCTCTTCGTCTGTGTATCTGTGACGCGAACGTCGCTGCTGATTTTCAAAACTTTCGTCCACTAGACGCGAAATCGTGCATGTCACTCTTCATTATGCGCGTTCGCAGCATGTGGTGAGCTCACTCCTCTGTCGAAGCACCACTTATGGTTAATGTCTAGCTTATCGGCTTTTCTAGTAGAAGTGCAGATGGCTAGAAAATGGTGTGAACCAAGGTTATCGTTCGCTGTCCTTGACCTGACGTGACAAAATGCACGGCAACTTCATGGCTGTTCTTCAGTTCAATTGCCTGAGCTCCATTTGTACGGAGCGCAGTTTGTATCATCCCATTGACCGTCGCTGTACCCGTACTTCCGTATCATTTCAGTTCGTTCCTGCTCTCATCTGTGGTAGTACAAATTCGATTATTTCATTAGTTAAGAAGTATGTCACCGAAAGTCCAAAAAGGTGACTCCCCAACTTCGGAACAAACGATCGTGCCTCTGAAGCCAATTGAAACGATCTATCTCCTGGTGGCCGAGTGTTGTAAATGGTGCATCACACGGTATGGCGATTGGTAAGGATGGATATCTGAGGACTACATAGAATAATTATTGGTTAGCTAACTAGCCTGCAGCACTACCGTATTGCATCATTGTTTTTGGTGCGGATACCGCGACAGTACTTGCAGCGCCTCCTTCACTGCTGTTGCAGCGAATCCAATGTGCAGAATAACATCACTCATTGAACGCTAACCTGTCCGCCTGTCCGCAAAATGCACTTCTAATTAATGGAAGTGAAAGGAGAAAAATGGAAAAAATCGATCTCTGCTGGAACCGAGGGACCTTCCATGCAGCACTTAGCGAAAAAGGTGAGGTATTTGTGTTTCTTCCACAATGGTCCGACAACGCGTTCAGATAGCAATTCATTTTCAGATCAACGAAGGAAGATTCTGTAAAGCTGCTTCCACACTTTGCGTCAGCGTCCTCCAGCGACCACCAGCGTTTCGTGCGTCCGTCAGCGTCAGCAACTAGGAAGGAGTAAGTATTGATCTAGCGAACAGCAGCGTATCGAGGGACGGAAAGTATGGTTATCGACCTAGGGTCTACCACTGTCCCCCGGCGACCACCAGCGTCCACTAGCGACCAGGAGTGCGGAATTGTAAAGCAGCATTCTCCTACTTCCCCATATTCGTTACTGCTGGTCGCTGGTGGACGCTGCCACACAACTATGAACGTAGCCTAAGGCAGCGGTCAATTTGCAGCGCTACGTTAGCGTACGTCGCGTACAACTTGTACAAACTTCCAGCCTTCTCCTTTATGTTTTTTCTTCTCAGTCCACCCCTTCCTCTTTGTTTCTCATGTTTATCTGATGCTGAGCTCCTCTTTTCTACTTGCTAGGAAGCACTGTGATGATGTCATATGTTGTTTTCGACTTTAATTATTTAGTTTCAGAGTTGCTATTGATGTTTAATGTCTTGCAGTGGTGCCTCGTGTTGATCCCGATTGCGAAATTGTTTTCATTCTATACGAGGACGGATCGCTGTTCGACATATAAAATCAATCATCACAGTGTTCTCTATCAAAAACTACATTAAAATGTGATAAAGTAGAAAAGAGGAGCTCAGCATCAGATAAACATGAGAAACAGAGAAAGGGGTTGAATTCAGAAGAAAAAACATAAAGGGAAGCTGGAGTTTGGTACAATTGTAGCGCGACGTAGCGCTACGTCGCGCTACAGCTGTAGCGCTACAAGTCTGGACGCTGCCTAAGCAATGTCGAAAACTTAACAAGGCTTTGAAAAGCGCCCCGAAGTGTACAGCCCCTGACTAACAGCATTATCATCATCAGACATCAACATCATTGCAGGAAGTATATGTAATCTGCCACTTTGTCCTTTCCTTTACTTTCTGATCAAGACTCACTAATTCACCCACTGCCACTTGAGCTCAAGTGATCCGATCAAGGTCAAGCCGATGATGAACCACACTGGAGGTCCCACCGATAAAATTTTATAGTTTCTTGTTGTAAATTTGGGAAAACTGCTTCAATATATCCCACCCATGACGAATACCGAAAATCCACTGCATGAGCTATCCAATGCCAACCTTCAGGGAGGTCGTGTTATAAAATCATTCGATGCAATATCGCTGTGCA